TTGTTGTATTTAGATCTCTGTTAACTGTTTGTGAAGAGCAGCCAAGGGTGATTCAGGCTTTTCTTGGTGGTTTTTTATCATTGGCCCGTTGGTGGAGAAGGAGATAGTGGCTCTCACTCAGTAAGTGAAGGTGCAGGAGGTGTGGGTACAGTTGTGTCTAATAGGGACTGTTGTCTCCCACTCAGACACAAATTACAACTGAATAACCATCAAAAAACTGAAAGCACATGGACAAAAGTACACCATGTAATCACACAGGAACAATAACCAAAAAAAGAAAAAAGGGAAAAAGAAAAAGAAAAAGCAAGAAAACCTGCAATATCTGGGGATAGCGCACTAAGAGAAAAAAAGTAGGGAAGGAGAATAATGAAGGAAAAAAAAAATGGGAAAAATGCAAAAAGAAAAACAAGGAACAGGGTTAATCACAAGAAAAAAGGGGAGAAAAAAACAAAACAAAACACTTAAAAGGAAAAAGAAAAAAATGCTCAATACTAGGTCCTGGGAGGGGAAGATTAAGAATAATAGTAAAAAATATTATTAATAATAGTTGCTTTAAAACAGACAAATACAAGCAAACTAATCACCAGAAAAAAGAAAGCAAAAAAAAAAAAAAAAATTGGTGGAGGCAGGGCAGGGCACCCAGGCTCTGTCTGAGCACACAGACTGTGATGGAGTTCCTGTGGGCCCAGAAGGTACGTGGGAGTGGGAGATGGCCGCATCTCCATTCACCAAGTGGGTGTGGGGTGTAAGAGTAACAAGAGGAATGTGGTACCCTTTTCAGTCTTGCAGGTCCAGAGTGACCCTGGGATTGCTAGAAAGCAGAAAGTGTTCTTAAGCCCCAGGAATCTGCGAGCACGCTGTCTCTTTAAATATCCAAAATAGTCAGCAACCTCTGGACCGGCAAAAGTCCACAGCTCAGCCTGCCTTTCTCTTCACCTTCTCGGTTTATTCCCCAGCCACCAGAGCAGTTCTCTGTGCAGTCCCTGGATAGCAAGGCTGATTTTTAGGTTAATTCTTAGGTCCTACCACCACTTGGGAACCTCCAAGCTGTGTGTGCCATCAGGATCGCTGTCAAACCGCAGCTGTGTATGTCTCCTTTTTTGGTATTTTCACGCAAATTCTTCTGCTAGTTGGGGTTTAGTCCACTTCTATATCCTCCCCTTCAAGGCTCAGGGGGTCCAAGATTATTTTCTGTGTCTGTGTTAATTGGTTTCCCTTTTCTTTGTTGAAGAGGGTCTGCCTAGTCCGCCATCTTGCTGATGTTCCAAAAAGGCACAATCCCAAAATGATCAAACAACATGGCAGGCTGCTGAATGAGGACTCAGCTACATGCAGGGTCCAAACATGCCAAAAAGCTCAAGACCATTCCCAAAGTTTCTCCTTATATATTGGCAGCAGACCACACCCCTAAAGCAGCTACTCAGTTGCTCTAGTAGATTCCATCACGGAGTTACTACCAGTCTCATCAAGGGGAATAACTATATCCAGCTGCCCAGCCACTCAAAACCAGTCCCAGCCAAGTTGACACACAACTACCACAGTGGTATTAACTTGTCTTCCTTGTAGTTGTATGGATATTATCCTGTTACCGACAGCACTGTACTTCAGGATAGATCTGGCAACACTCCTCTTCAATTTGTCATCCCTGGCATAGTAGACCATATGACTGTCTGATTCAAAATCACCATTAGTCCATTTCAGTTCACTAACACCTAGGATATTGATCTTTATGCATTCCATTTCATTTATGACAACTTCCAATTTTCCTAGATTCATACTCCATACAATCCATGTTCCAATTATTAATGGATGTTTGCAACTGTTTGCTTTCATTTTAAGTTGTGTCACATCAGCAAATGAAAGTTCCAAAAGCTTTACTCCCTCTATGTCATTAAGGCAGACTCTACTTTGAGGAGGCAGCTCTTCTCCAGTTGTATTCTGAGTGCCTTCCAACCTAAGGGGCTTGTCTCTTGCCATCAAATTAGACAGTGTTTCCCTGCTATCCATAAGGTTTCCATTCTCCCCCATCCCCAAGTGGTCCTGGCCATGTCCTTTTTTCTAGTCTGCCTTTGGAAGCTCTGCTGAAACCTGTACACCAAGGCCCTGCTGGTATTTGAAATACTGATGTCATAGCTTCCAGACTCCCAGCAATGTGCAAGCCATCAACGTATGACAAATTAATAGATGAGTTGAGGGACCAAACATATAGGACCTTAAAATAACAACCTCTCTTCTTAGATAATCTTATAATTTCATTTTTATTTGTTCACTTTATTTACTATATCTTGTTATGTTTTTTCCTAAGCCACCTGAAATTAAATACTTATAATGTATTCATAACACAAATAATATCCCATAATCTCCTCTCTATTTTTTCATAAGTAAGAACTAAATGTATCTACCCTATCATTCTTTGATATTGTCAAAGGCATGTATGATTAGAAACTGTATTCTGGGATCACTCTGATGCTTACCTTTTCTGCTACTTCTCGTACAGACTGAACACTTGTTCCATACAGATGGTTGTTATATTGGCCAGCTTCAATGAATTTATGCTCCTGAATATCTTTTTCCATCTGTTCTCTTGAAGTCACAAAATGATAATCTCTTCCATCTACCTCATAATCTCGTTTTGGTCTAGTTGTATCTTTAATAGAAAAGAATTTGGGGCAGTGCTTATTTTTTTTTTTTTAAATGTAATAAATCAATATCCTACTTAAGCCATTTTTTTGGTAAAATTCAACCTAATAGAGATTAATTTCAATTTGAAAAGAGACAATGATATAGAGGATGAAGGAGTAACTAATAAAATAACTAAGGGTAAATCATTAAAAAATGGGAATATTTATTTTTACCACAAATAACAACAGAGAACATTCACAATAATTATTAAAGGATTTTGTTTGTTTGGGTTACTTACGAGGAACACAGGATCCAAATTTGTCAGGAAATTCTGAGATTAAGTCATCATTTATTCTGTCTTTCATAGGTCCCAATATGATCACTGGCCGAGTATAATTAACTATAAAGATAAACTCCGTATCAAAGGGAATAAATGCTCAACAGATATCAATGTATTTTACTGAATGAAGAACAAAAATATCCTTAACTTTTTTTAAAAATTTTTTCTTTCTCTATCTTACTTCACACCAACTGAAGATACCTAATTTACTAATCTTTACTAAGATCCCAAGCTTAAGTTCATTTCCTTAAGTCAATCATATACTTGCTTCTACATAGCAATTATAAGAAGCAGAGCAAAGACAGACAAAAAAGAAATTGGGTGTAGGAAGTGATGTAATCACAGTACTGATTTAGAAAGACAATCTAATAAAAGTATACACATTGGAATGAAGGAGACTGTTCTGGTTACCTAGTGCCACTCTTGACAGGAATATACCACAAATGGGATGACCTTAACAAACTGGAGTTTATTCTTACAATTTGGAGGCTTTAAGTCAAAGTTCAAAGTGCCAGGCTCTAAGGGCTGGGTAAAAGCCCCTCAATCTTGGGGTCCAGCCTTGCCTCCTGCTCCCAGCCCACTGAAGCCAGAGGTGTTTCTTCACTCAGACAGCTGCAGGCTGCTGATGCTAAGAAGCCCCAAAGTTAACAAGTAAAAAGGCACAGTCCCAATGTTACCAAACCACACGGCAGGCCATTAACTTAAGTCTACTGTAAGTCCCAAGGCTGGCAGAGCATAGCAGGCTGCTAAGCAATGACACGGCTACATGCAGTGTCCAAGTGTGCCACAGGCTAGAGACCATTCCTAAGCCTTCTCCTTAAATACAGGAAGCAGACCATATCCCAAAGGCAGGTACTCAGCTGCTTGTAGTAGATCCCACTATGGAGTTGATTACCAGTTTCATCATGGGGAATAACTACCACCAGCTGCCCAGCCACTCAACCAGGCCCCGCCAAGCTGACACATAAACATAACTACCACAGGGACCATGTTATAAGCAGGGAGAAGAGTAATAAGAATTAGAATACTGTAGTAAAAGGAATTAAAAGAGGCCATAAATAAGAAAGATATGACAGAGTATAAAAAATAAGACCTGGAAACTGATTGTGGATGAGGGAGATAAGAAACACAGAAAAGTCAAAGATCCTTCCAAGATTTTGAACATGGGTCACTGGAAGCATAGTAATGCTATTAATGAATACTGGAAAGAAATTGTTAAGAAATAAAACACCAATATTAAGTGGCTAGTTATTTCAACATTTAGATATACTGTGGGCTAAACCATATTTCACGAAGCCAGTGCAAACTGTAATGTTCTAATATAATTTTGTTTTTACAGAGGAGTTAGACTTATTTTCTAAACTAAGAACAATATTTTTCAAGAAAATTGCAAAACATCAACAATCAACAGGTTTCACAAACCTTCTTGTTGATTCACTGGTTCATAAGACAAGACATATTCTTCTTGACCACCTATTAGAAAGTTAAAGCACAGATGAGAAAACTTGTAAAGATTATTGGCACTAATTTAATTCTTCATACATAACATAAATTACCAGGACTTTGCTGAGAAAATGTGGAAGATGTAGAAAGTTATTATAGTTCTTAAATTATTTATGAAAAATTTCAGTAAAAAAAGTGATAAATTATAAAGTCATAAAAAGCATGATAAGCGTAAAAAAATTTAGTAACTAACTTTATTAGTCTGTGCTTTTTTGACAGATTGAATCTATTTAAAATCTTCATTTGTGCTGTCAAGCACTTGCCTTTAACTTTATTTACATGGTTTTAGGTACTTCAAGAATTTAAGAACAATTAAATCTTTAAAAGATTAATATTTTAATGAGCAGTTCTATACATATACATATTAGACAATTTACTGCTATAAGACTGCGCTACTTTTTCGGTCCCACCAAGTATACTATTTTGCAGGGAATATTTTACTTTTTTTTCAAAAAATAAATATAATTACAATAAAAAATTGGAGTCCTTGGGTGGTGCAAATAGTTAACACATCTGGCTGCTAACCAAAAGGCTGGAGGTTTGAGTCCACCCAGAAGAAATGTCCAGTGATCTACTTCTGAAAAATCAGTCACTGAAAGTCCCATGGAGCATAGTTCTACTCTGACACACCTGGAATTGTCAAGAGTCAGAACTGATTTGATGGCAACTGGTACAATTAAAACTTATAAACACAGAGGTAAAATTAAAAATCCACCAATTATCCTAAAAAATCATTTGTTTGTCTCTTTAAAAAATAACACTTAAAGTAAGTCAAAAACAGCTTTAGATAAAATGAAATGCTTCCCTTCCAACCAAATCACATAGACAGTGAAGGAGATAACATATGTTCTGCTTTGATCTTAAAGCCCTTTAGTTTAATGAAAGCCTCAAAGTATATTTAGAGGTTAAAGTTTTAGAACTTACAAAATATTGTAAATGAAAATGTCTACAGATTATATTTCTGACAAAGTGAAAAGAACTAGAGTTGAAAACTCCAGTTTTTTAAAACACACACACATACACACACACACACAAATAAATAGAAAACAAACTAGGAAAGACTGTTAATTCAAATGATTCATTGAAAACAATCAATTTATTAGGTAACGTATTTGATAATTTTTTTCCTTGATTATTAAGATTCTAGAAACAACTTTCTCACTTAATTTCTCTTAGGTTTATATTATATTATGCAGCTTTATAGATGTATACTGGCATAAAATTCTTTCCTGCTTTAATCATGTATTTCTTCTTTTTCAAATTTATTATTGCAGTATAAAAAATAAAACAAAGTATAGAGAACAAATATTTTACAAGCTGGTTTTAAAATCACTCTATGTAAAACATGGTTTACATATTAGTAAAAAACATGCAACTTGAATATTCCATACTTTAAATAAGTCATGCAAATGGTGAGACAGACAGTATATACTTTCAATACCTCTTTTTAGTCTAGAAAGCCACTCAACTATTCTATAATGAATTCTGGTTATAAATTAATAAAATGCTGAAATATAAGAAATCACACTCCCACACCAAAAAAAAAAAAAAAAGCTGAGTAAACATTATGGAGAAAAAATAATAAGCAACCAAATAAATGAGGGTTAAAAGTATATATTGTCAAGATGAAAAAATATTAAAGACTGATACTGATATTAACAGGATGGACCTTTTGAACAGCCATACTCATCTGTAATCAAGATTACTTTCATATTAGACAGCAGTAAAAAAAAAAAAAAGGTTAGAAAAGCAATTTTAATTTTTAAAGTGCTACAACAGGTAATACTTAAGTACTCTCCCCTCCTCCCTTCCCAACTGTTTAAAAATGTCACATGCTTATAAAGCTCTTTTAATAATATAACTCCAAGAATGCAATATAAAATATCAATTGGCAAAAGATATCAATATTACTGTGAAAGCAACTGTAGAAAATTTCTTCATCATTTCTTAGGTTCACCAAGACTTGGTAATAAACAATGATTTTTACCCAAACCAGTATTGGTGAAAAAGAATAAGAAGGGAAATAAAGCTAATTATAACTTAGCATTACAAAAAAATTAATATTCATGTTAAAAACAGTTTACTAAAGAAAATGGATGTGATATGTAAGTGTTCCCCCATTTAACTAGATCATCACTTCTTATGAATGATATACACGTGTAAACACACGTACTATGTACACACATAGCACTGTGTGTAAAAAGAATCTTAGTAGTTCCTTAAAATTCTGGAAATTAACTTTTATATAACAGAGTACTTTATTTTCAAGTACAGTACTTAATTGGCTTTCCTTGATTTTAAAATATTAAGCATCTAATTTTTAGTTTTTAGAACACATCACTAAGAAAAAAACAAAAAATTTCGAGATTACTACTTGAAATTACAAAAGAACAAATAAAACACTTACGGTAACTACTTTCACTATCGCTGGCATTAGACGTTACATGCTCTGAAATTACAGGACAATGGAAAAATAAGGAAAACACAGAGTCATGAGTTTAAAAAGCAAAGTTGATAAAAAGCAAATTATCAAAACAAAAGCTGACATTACAAAATGTTGAGATATAAACCACACATAACTAAAGAAATTATAAAAAGCATTTTTGAATTTCCTTGAAAAGTTAACTTTTAAAAAATAAATGTAAATTAAGAAAAAACCTGTAATTAAGGACAATGCCTCATTTTTATACAATACATCTTCTGAACAAAATCTCTATTATAAATAGCATATAAAATATGACAAAGAAGGGCAGAGTGCTCCTAAATTAGTCCAACTGTAGATGTAAAACCTAAAAAGAGAAAATGTAATTGACACCATTTATTTTATGAAAACAGTAATAAGTGACAACAGGGACAAGTTATATATTTGAGCAAACAAATGCCCATTTTAATGAGAAGATGTCTTTGTAATTAAAAAATAAATAGATGATCTTGTTTTTTATCCAGCTTCTCTCCTGTTCCTGAGGTGAAATGAAAATCCATGTTTCTGAGATAATATAGATAAAGCAATTTAGATGTTATAAATTCAGATACCTCAAAAAAAAAAAAAATCAAATGGAAGGGAGTTCTAGAATGTGGGATTGTGTCTGAAAACAGACTAGTAATTTATTTGTAGAAACTAAAAAACATAAAATTTTCCATGGGAGAGAGGCGAAACCAAAATTTCTTATGTCAGAGAAAGGACAAAGAATCTTAAAGGATAAGGAAAAAGATTGAGATAAATATCTGCCATATCATATCACCCAGTGACTCCTAAAATCAAGCAGCACTAGTAAAAAGCGCAAAGAATGGTAGAACTTAGACGTGAAATAGAGAAAACCATTTAAAAATGAAATGCTGTTACAGTGAAAAACATATTATTCTATAATAACCTGCAAAGACAAAATATCACTTTCTTAATCACAATTACATTATTTTAAATAGAGACTTTAAAAAATTATAAGTGGGACTGAATAATATAAGATAAGCATATGTAAAGTGGTGGTTTTCTTTTTAATTACATATTAAAAAATTTCCATGTTACCACACAGACTTCAAAACAATCATTTAAAATTGTTGTATAATAGTCTATTGAATTGATGAACCATGATTTACCTTACTACTCAGATACTTAAGTTTGCTTTAAGCTGCTTTTCACAAGACATCATATATTATTAAGTCTTATTTTATACAGATTTTTACCTTTTAAGCTATTTTCTTTAAACTCTATTCCCAGAAGTCATAATGCCACATTAAAAAAAAGAAAAAAGTTTCTAAGTTTATATTAGGATTGGTTTACACTATGCAATTTCTAGTTTGTTTCAAAAAATTAGTTACTGTCATAGTCCACAAAGAAAATGTTCTACATCCTACTTTAGTGAGGAGTGACTGGGGTCTTAAAAGCTTATGAGTGGTCATCTGGGGTACAACTATTGGTCTCTCCCCATCTGGAGCAAAGAAGAGTGAAGAAAATCAGACACAAGGAAACAATTAGTCCAAGGACCAATGGACCACATGAACCCCACTCTTCACAACCCTGAGACCAGAAGTACTAGATGGTGCTTGGCTACCACTGCTGACCTCTCTGAAAGGGATCACAATGGGAGGTTCTAGCTAGAGTGGGAGAAAAATGTGGAAAACTCAAAATCATGAAAGCTCAGGCTTACTGGTCTAACAGAATGGTGGAACTCCCAAGATTATGATCCTTAGTTACCCTGGAAGCTAGGAACTGAATTCAGCCCTGTGGCTCAACTTTCTGTCAAATGATAGGCCCATAAAGTAAACAGTAATACCAGGACGGTATTATTAGAACAATCAACCATACGAGATCAAAAAAACAGCATCTGTCCAGGGATAAAGCTAAGACAGCAGGAAGGGATAGGAAAAAAGGGTGAAGGAATATGGCAAATACAGGGAGGAACTACAAAGACTGCTGTTACACTGTGGGGATTACAATGAATGTCACAGGACAAAATGTAAGAACTGATGAATGGAAAACCAATCTGGTCTGTAAACTTTCACCTAAATCACAATTAAAAAAAAAAAAAAAAGTTATTGCAATGGGATGGGAGTACAGGATAGGTAGGGAGATGGACAAAATGAGTTGATAATTATGAATGTTGGGTAAGTGAGTGCTTGCTGGGTTTATTTTACTATTCTTCAATTACTGACCATGTCTCATATATTAGATAATAAAAAATTAAAATGAGAACAATCTCTTTTCTATCATATTCTGGAATTTCTCCTATCTATTCATTTTGAGTTCTCTAATAGCTACTGAGCAATCAAATTCTCCAAGTTCTTTCAAGTATCCTTTTACTTACTCCTCTATTCTAAAATCTTGCTACTTAAAGTATGGCTGGCCCTTCGAACAGCATTGTCATCACTTAGAAAAGTAAAAATGTTTCTTCCTGATAATTAAAAAAAGCTTCAAGGTACTTCAGAAAAGAAGATATCCAAATAGCCAATAAAAAGGGGCTCAGCTTTATTCCTTATCAATGCAAATTAAAACCACATTGTATCTCTACGATCCACTTGTTGTTGTTGTTGTTATGTGCCGGCGAGTCGGCCCCGACTCATAGCGACCCCTCCTTGGGTTTCCGAGGCAGTATCACTATGTAAGTAGGATTTCCCAACCTTCCTTCCGAGGAGTGGCTGGTGGGTTTGAACCGCCAGCC